TAAATTTAAGATATGCGATACTTTTGTCCATATAGTATATATTTAAAGTAAAAAATTTATTTTACTTCTAATACAAGTTAAATTTTTATAATTAAATTATTAAAATTGTAATAATTAAAGTTATTCTTTACCAATAATTCTATAAAACTGATATAAATTTTAACTTAAAAAATTTTTAAGTTTGTTTAATATCAATTTTATTTAAAAAATTTTTTTAAAAAATTAAAAATTTTGCTTATAATTAAACTTTAAATTTTTATTAAATAAATAAATAATAAATACTATCAATATATAATATATAATTAAAACTAATGTTATATAAATTTTTAGAAAAATATTTTGATTATTTAAAAAAATAAATAAAAAAGCAATATTTTAATTAAAAAATTTTAAATAATATAAAAAAAATACCCTACTATTTAAGGAATAATTATTTTACAATTACTATATGGGTTGGTGCACACAAAACCATGCTCTGAGACAAAATCCTTATTTGGAGATATCAACGATTATCAATTTAAATTTATATATCGAGCTATATAAAATTAAAAAACTGCGCGCAAGATTGTACCAAATTATAATATATTAATATATATCCAAACTTTTATCACAGATAAAGGACGTTCTTGGGAGTACAATCAAAATTTCAATTTTTGTTAAAACCTTTCAAAGCATGGTTTTGCTATGTACCAACTCATATATAGTATAGGTTTAAATATATTATTGATTATTTTATTGATGATTATAAGAACTAGTTTTGAACTAGTTCTGAACTGGACCTTAAAAGTCTAGTCTGAAACTAGTTCCTACTGGTGGAATCAATTCAAAACTGTTATTGTTACAATTAAATTAAGGATTTCGGACGTAGATTTATTCATCCGGTATACTTCTGATTCACATACTATATATATGTACCTTGTCTCTCTTTTTATTTTCTTAAAATATTAAGATGGCACCCGTAAGGTCAAGCTATGACGACATAAGCTTCATATATGTAATACCTGGGCAAGAACATGACAACGAACAGACCAAAAAATTGCGAAATGCCATGCTTAATATCGTAATCGAACCTCTTGCTTCCGTTCCATTTCCCCCGGAAATCAGCGTGGACGATTTGGTAGAATCTCCCAAAAACTCGAAACAAAAATTTAAGTCCCCCAACCGATTTTTTATATTCCGAAGGGCCTACTGCAAGGAAATGATTCGGCAAGGCAAACGATATCCACAAACAATGCTTTCAACATATATCTGTGATCATTGGAAACGACTCCCGAAAGAACAGAGAGAATTTTATACCAACTTGGCGGAAAAAGCTCGAATTTTATTCAAAGAAAAATACGATGCAATCGCCCGTGACGATAAAGGTCCTTCGAAATATAGATATACTAGCAAATACTCAGAAAGAGTTAAGATACGTCAAGAGTGTAAGCGGAAACAACCACGACATGCCGAAAGTCATGTGCCGCAAGTGGCAAGTCCTCTTCACACGCATGACATGGCACACTACTCGCAGTGTTACACTCCACTTTTTGAGGAGGCTTCGCAACTTCCAACGCTGGCAACCAGTACGCGGCTTCCAATGCTGGACGATTTCGACATGGCACACTTTCTTTCAATGCAGGACGATTTCGACATGGCACACTGCCCTATTTTTTCCGATTTTATTTAATCTAGCGTGCAATTTTTGACAGCAGATCTCCAACTTCCAGCGCCATTATCGAACGACTTCCCATTTTGTACGCAACTTCCGACATCAGTATTAATGAATGATTTCCCGCAATTTCTAACGACTGAATGGCTCCAGAAGTGCAATTTGATTTCGATTGTTTAGGTTATTTCGACAACTTCGGTTTTGTTCTCTGTTTTATAACGCTACTTAAAAAAAAGACAGAAGTAAGCGTGTAAGCAAAACAATCCCAGCATATTTGAATAATAGTTTATATAAATATATTATATATTGTATTTCCTGCTAAATTACTTTATTTAATAAATTATTTTATTGAAAATATATTATCAAAAATATTTTTTATTATATTATTTTTTTAAACAGGTGGATGTTAAAAAAAAATTTTTTTTCTTCCCTTTTTTTCCTAAGTTCTTTAAAACAATATTTGCTAAATGCAATTATACCTACCTATTCAAAAAAAAAAAACAAACAAAAATGAAATAGAAAAAAAAAACAAGTTAATTATAAAACAAAATATATTATAATATAAAAGGCACACATTTATGTATAGTATATTGTTCTTTTAATACTATTTATTGTTATAGCCTGGCTATTGCCTAATATATATAATAATATTGTTAATATAAAAACTTAATAGCTGGTTGAATATACAGTGTGTTGCAAAACTTTTTGGAATTTTTTATTTATTCATTACTCAAAAACTATTGCATAAAAATTAATAA